AGGCTGCAGTCACCCTCAAGGTAGCGATGCTGAACCCGCACAATTTCCTCGCCCTCGCGTTCGCTTATGTGGCCGCCAAATGAGGGGCGGTAGGGGTGCTGACTGCTGTGGCCGCTGCCACAGGGAGCAGCCACGTCAAAAGCGAAGTCAAAAGGTCAAATGCTGAGAAGTCACAACCACCCGCAAGTCGCAAAAGAAACCCAACACCAAAAGCAGCAAACATCCGCTGAAAATGTCGGAGGAGGAGTCGTAGGACATGTGGAACAGAAGCAGGGAAGTGGAGTTCAACCTGGATTGCCATTGCGTATTTATGTGATTGCCAGAATTGGCCTGGCCCCGGGAGCCCCCTGATTTTTGTTCGGGGAGGCTCTTATGGCTCGCAGAGCACCCCTCACGAGGCCCAGGAGCACGCCTGGCATCCAGAGCTCTTACGGCTTCCAGAGCACCCCTCACGATCCCAAGTAAGGATGGGGGGGGCGCCATCAGGAATTGAGGACAACCGAGCACCCTATACCTGACCTTCCCCTTGCATTCTTCTTCTCCCAATCCCTTTCCCTCCCCCTCCCAGACTCCGCCACCGCATCCCATGCACCCATCCACTCTCCCTGCTGAACTCCCCACTCCTCCCCTACCCTCGCCCTCCTCCGCCTCTCTCCCATCCCCCGCCCTCCGCCCCGTTACCTTCCAGGCCTGTCCCGAAGCGCGTCTTGACACGGATCTCGAGGCGAGTGCAGCCGTGACGATGAGGGCCCCGAGGCGGCCAGAAACGTCGAAGTCATGGCGGACGAGGTCTTCCAAGCCCGCCCCTCGTCGCCCTTCCGCTCCCCCATCTCTGCACGCGCGCCGCTCCTCCTGCTGCTCCTGTTGCTCCTGCTCCTCACCTGCTGCTGCTGCTGCTGCGCCGCTGATCTCGAAGCTCTGCCGTTGCAGGCGGCCACACCGGCGCCCGTGCCGAGCTGTCCGGCCCGGAGATGGTCGTGAGCCTTGTGCACGGGCTCGGGGTCATCCCTGGGTGGCCATGGCCAAGTGTCGGGGGCGTCCATGTGTGGTGCGATGACCTAGGGGGTGGGCATCTTGGCCAGGACCACGATGTCTACCCAAGCTTCATGGGTCCCTCTTGTTCTTCCAATACGCCCCTTGGCCCCAACTGGGCCGCTTCCGTGCCTCGGGCCATGATTTGCGAACCCCCCTTCTTGGACGCCCCCATCTTGGCGCCACCGGAATTGCGTGTAGTTCTCATTGTGGCGCACACTTTTCCAGCATCAGCCTCAGACGAACTCGTCGCAGCAGGCGGCCAATCCAGTCCAATGAGTATGGAAGCCCCGAGTGCACTGACCGCCAGGCCAGCGTTCGCCGACCAACTGCCAGAGCATGTGGCATTGACCACCACCTGGCCCCCACCCCGCACCCCGCCCTCCTCCTCTCCGTCGCAGTCGTCGGCCGCCGCCGCCTTCCTTCCTCTCCTGCCACTCCTCGCCGCGTGCGGAGGCTGCGTCCCCCCTCGCCAAGAAGTCGAACCTCCTGCACTTCTTCGCGGCCTCGGTGATGCGCGTGCGGCCGGACCCCCGCCGCCCGTCCTCGCCCCAGCGCCCGCACGTCCAGCGCCCCACGAGGCAGGGGATGATGAGGAGGAGGAGGAGGAGGAGGAGGAGGAGGAGGAGGAGGAGGAGGAGGAGGAGGGTGAGGGGGGGGGAGAGGGAGGAGGGAGAGGAAGCGGTCATAGCGGATGCACCCGCGTCACGGAATGCATAGTTCCAGGACCCGATCGACCACTACATCCTGCACGGCATGGTGCTTGTTTATCTCCCGCGCCTTCCCCGTATTGTTGGCTTGTGTTCAACGCGTTCCCTCCATTCAGGCGATCGCAAACATGGATTAAGGGGGCGTGGATTAGCGACGGGTCCCGTTTCCCTGGGAAATCGCGGATTTCGGCCGCCGAACGAGGCGGCACCGGCCGCATTTGGGGAGGGCACCTCCCCCGATCCATGGATTTGGCGACCGCGCGTCAAATCCATGGATCGCTAATCCATGTTTGCGCGCCCCCGATCCATCGTCCGTCCACAACCCCGTTCTGGTGCGCTCTCTCTCTCTCTCTCTCTCTCTCGTTCTCCCCCCCGCGCTGCTCTCCGCCCAGTCTGCCTCACTGCGTGTTCCCTTGCTGTCCGCCCTCGGTTGCTCCCCTCTCTGCCGGCATGCCTCCCTGTTCTTGCCGGGGTGCTGCCGGCCCCGCGGCGTTGTGCTGGGCGTCCGACCGTCCTCGCCGTGTCCGGGTGCGGCGGTCTGCAAAGTGCCGCGCCACGCGGATCTGCGCTTCAGCGAGCCGCGGGGGCCTCCTGGGATTATTGCACGCGACGCTGCTGCGTTGGTTGACCATTGGACCATTGGGGGGCGCTGCACCCTGTGGTGAGAGCAAGAGCGCGCCATCTCGCGCGAAGTGCCTGCATTCCGTTTGCGCCCGGGCGGGGGGTCGTGGAATGACGCCTTGGCGGCAGGAGATCTTACACAGCACGACCAGAGAGTATCGTATTGCATCGTACGTGGCGGAGACCACACGGGAGACCACACGAGAGACCACACGAGAGACAAAGAGCCACCGACTCTGGATTCGGAAGGGCTCACAACCCAGCTTTATAGGTTCTTTGGGAAGACAGTTCGTTTCTTTGTTACAGCTCGGCGGCGAGCGAGGGGGGGAAGTGAGAAGGAGAAGGCTTCCTCGGGAGGTTCGGAAGGCTTCCTCAGCCTTCTGAGAAATGTTCGGAGTCTTCCCCGAAGACACAACCTCCCAGAGGCGCGAGGGCTTCTGAGACGTCCCGCCCCCTTCTGAGAGGGCCTTCTCCTTCTCACTCTCCCCCCTGCCCCCGCCGAATTACTCCTCTCGAGGTTCTGGGTTCAAGGGCCGAGTTCGAAGGGACGCTCTTGGCTCCATTTCTGGGCCTCGGAGGGCCTCTGGCGACCTCCGGGGACCTCCAGATACACCTCCGGGGACCTCGGGGGAGAGTTCTGCAGAGCCATCTGTGCACCCTCTCTTGCGCTTACTCTTTGCCGCCGCACCGCCCAAACCTGCAGCTCCCCGGGCACTCGACGGGTTCCCTGCCTGGCGCGGAGCGGCCCCGCGCGCGGAGGCGGTCGTGGCCGAGCCCCGAAGCGTCGCGCATTGCGGAGGGCAGAGGCGGGCTCGGCCGAGGCGGGCGGGCTGCTCTCGCGGCGAGGTCGGCGGCCGCGGCGGTGAGAGCGCGGGGGAGGCGAGCAGCCTCCCTCCAGCCTCGTCCTCTCCGAGGGAGCGCGCGCGGCGTGTGTGTTGGAGGCTCCTGCGCCGAAGGAGGGAGAGCGGCATTCGGACCTGTCCCTCTGCAGGAGGAATATTCGAAGATTGTCAAAATCTAGTCTGGGGGCGATTTTTGGATTATTGCTTGACCCTTTTTGAATTTTTGTTGCTATGCTTGATTTGTCGTTCAAAGCCCGCCTGTAGGGGGACATGCCCGACCTAATCCTAGATGGGGTCGGAATAGATGGGGTCGGAGGATGGCGCCGCCTCGCCGATGCATCGGCGATGCGGCTCGATGTGGTGCTTAGTTTTGTCCACGCCGACGTCGTGAATGTGTCGCCGACGTCGCCAGTGCATGGCCGATGCGTCGCCGATGCATCGGCGATACATCGCCGATGTATCGGCGATGCAGCGAGATCCTCCGACCCCATCTACTCGGGCCCCATCTAGTCAGCCTCTAGGCATGGGCATAAGCCGTAAGCTCTTCGGAGCTCCGCGCGGAGTTCCTGGATCGGCGCCAGGGGCTGAGCCGAAGGCGCCGCACGGGGGGAGGGCGTCCAGTGCCGATCCAAGAGATCCGCGCGGATCTCCGAGACACTGTTGATGCAGCTGCTTGATCTGCTCCTCAGGAGAGAACGCGATCGGTTTATGCGTGGGTTCCTACTGGTAGGTCTCTTTGTTGTTCAGAGTCCTGCTCCGAATATGCACGACGGTCGCTACCACGATTGCACTTATCTCGATCACCCATACTGAGGTTAGACGTGCCCATTACTTCAACGGCGGCCTACATCACCTCTGCTGCTATGGCGGTGGCGACCTCGACATCATGTATTGTCGGTGCCAACACCATGGCCTGTTCTATTGCGGTTGCTTCTAATGAGTGCTAGCGAGTACTGCTACGATCACGCATGCTCCTAGTTATTCGGCATCGCGCGGAAGGGGGTGGAACGAGTTGAGAAGCCTTCGAATAATGGGCTTGCCAAAATGCTGCGTTCCTCCTCCTCATCATCCCCAGCACCCGTCCTTCTCGCCGCGCGCCCGCGGGAACGGTAGGACTTCGACGAGCGGTTGGAGACAGAGTTAAACGGCCTAGACGGCTTGACGGCCAGCGCACCATGGTCTGGACCGCCAGGGGGGACGGAGGAGGAAGAGGAGGCAGTAGGAGGGCGGATGACGGAGGAGGGCCATCTTCTTGCTTCCCCCTCCCCTCCCCGTCGTGCCGCCGCCGTTTTTCAGCTTCGGTGTTTGTGAAAATGCCTGTGTTCGATGAGCGCAGTGCCTTCCGACAGCTCGAGTGGGATGAACCCCCATTATTGTCACCATTCGGCATGCTGGAGGGACCTGATGCGGATTCGCACCGTCACTGCCCAAGATGATTGACGCACGCCAGCTATGCGAAATCATGGTAAGCAAATGGCCACGTCGTCCAGCTCTGGCCTACATATTCTAGAAGGTGGTGAGCCGTTGCTGTGGCTCCGCACACCTCTGCGTGCCATTCAGGAGGGAGAAACCACACAGACGCAATTAATCGTCGGTTTCCCCAAAAATATCGGAAAGCATGGGAAGCGGAGGGGAAGACAAAGACCCAGAAAATACAGGAAAAGATTGGGAATCCTCTTATTTGTGTCTATTATTTGTGTGTCCCAGGGCCCCTTCAAACATGTAGATGCCCACCGTTGATCATATGTAGTTGGCTATAACAGATGTAAGTACGCCACCCTGACTGATGAGGTACACGCACACGTGGGTATTGATCTTCTCATTGAAGGTCCCCAGCCCATCGACGACGACGAACGTACGTCAATTCATTCTCGGGATAGTGTTCGCGTTCGTTGGCAATGCCCCATCTCCTGGCTGCGACAGCTGCGACAGCTTGGGCTGCCACCCGCTGTGTCTATCGACGCGCGTGGTGATTGCAATGGGACTGTTTTCTTTCTCCGCCGCCTTCTCCTCTCAAGCAAACGAAGGAGGGTGGAGGACGAGGGCCGGTGGACGGAGAGGTAGGAGGGAGAGCACGGATGATGACAAGGAAGAGGAAGGAGAAGGGGCGTGGAAGAAGGGGCACGGGAGGCGGATCGGAGAGAAGGTGGCGGATTGGATTGGATTGCCATTTGAAGCCTCAATTGTCCATGAACGTCGCTGGGATACTCTACCTCAAAAGCAGTTGAGGAGGTGGAGGTGGAGGAGGAGGAGGAGAAGGAGGGGGAGGAGGAGGAGGAGGAGGAGGAGGAGGAGGAGGAGGAGGAGGAGGAGGGGGAGGAGGAGGCGCATGAGGGATGGAAAGAGAAGGAAGCGCAGTAGCAGAAGGAGGAGCTGCGCGCAGCGGATGGGGGAGTCGACGGAGTTGAGGAAGACGTGATCACCTTGGGGGGGGTTGGAGGTCAGGGGGTACGGGAGGAGGAGAGGATCCAACACGAGCCGAACCCTGACGAGAGGGAGGGGAGGGAGAAGCGGGGGCCGGGGATCTGGAAAGGGACGGGGGATGAGCATCAGCAGGACGAGGGCGGGAGGAGGAGGAGGAGGAGGAGGAGGAGGAGCAGGTTTTCGCTCGACGACCGACCGCAGGGGACAGCCGCACCCGCTGCCACGACCCCAGCACGGCTCGGCAACGACGAGTCCCTGCCTTCTGTTGCCTGCAGGGCCCGTGGCGCGGGCCGCCCTCACCGTGGGGAGCAGCAGCATCGATACCACGTCTGTCCACGTCTCCCAGCGCCAGGCCTCTCACGCAGCAGCCGCCCTCGCGGGGCGCAGCTCTTCCCATGCATCCACCGGTCTTGCACGACGGGGCAACCACTGCTCAACCGACCCTCATGCCGCTCCCGCGGCTCGCACTCCCACACCACACCGTGACGACGCACTCGCTCTCACCACGGCAGCAGCAGCACCAGCTTCAGAGCGACGCATTGTGACGATCTCCACGCCTGTCTCCACGACGGCGGCAGCTGCCTGTCCCTCCACATTCACGACGAGCAGAGCATTCCTCGGTCATTACTTGCACCGCCACACTCGACTACACCCGCCTCTTCTAAGCCCTATGCAACCTGGACCTCGACCTCGCATTCGGATCCCTGTCCTACCTGCACCCCGCCTCCTACCGATGTCGGCGCATAAAACGCCCATCCACAGACGTTGCTTCGACGGTGCCGCCCCCTGGACCCCCCATTTGAATGTTGCGTTCGCGGCCTCGCGGCCGTTGCCGGGGTGCAAGCATCGGCATGAAAAATCCCAAAACTCCACCGCCAAGGCACGCCAGCACGGGGGTTCTGAACACAGCAGCGTTGTCCAGTATGCCTGGTGGGCGTTTTTTTTACGCCAACGGCGGTACCCCCTTCACGTTGTCAGTTGGGGCGCACGTCCCCGTCAGTTGTATGCCCCGCTGGCTGCCTGTGAAAAGCAATCGCCAAAGCCTGGGAGCACCACGGGACGCATGAACACCGCTTAAAGAAGGGAGGCTTGGAGGGAGAGCCGGAGGGAGGCTTGGAGGGAGAGCTGGACGGAGGGGTTGAGGGAAGGTTGGAGGGCTGGAGGGAGGACTGGAGGGAGGGTTGGAGGGAAGGTTGGAGGGAGGGTCTCCTCCTCCTCCTCCTCCTCCTCCTCCTCCTCCTCCTCCTCCTCCTCCTCTGGAGGGAGGGCTGAAGAGTTGGAAGGAGGAGAATCGTCGCCCACGGGTCGTCAAGCACAGCAGCAGGAGGCCGCTCCTAGAATATCGAACGCTTCTGGGGGATTGGGCGAGACCCGTCGTCAAGAAATCTTGGACAACATCGAGATTTTCTGGCGGCATGGAAACCAGCCGGGAGATGCTCCTGGAGGGGGTGCTCAGCAAAATGGCCGCTCTCAGGCGGCATGGAGATCGAGCTGAGATTTGTTGAAGAATAAGTCCCGAGCAAAATAGCCACGTCCCGATGGCATGGCAAATTTTCGGATCGCCAGGTGCGCCAGGTGTGCCAACAAGCGCGAGACGCGCGAGATCCGCCTCATGCCCCTCTAGTGAAGCCCCACGGGGGAGCCCCTTGGAGGAGACTTGTGGGCGAGCTCCATGGGGGAGCCTTCTGGGGAAGCCCGATGGGAAACCCAATGGGGAAACCCTATGGGGCAGCCTTCTAGGGCAGCCCTTTAGGGGGCCGTTGGGGAAGCCTACAGGGGAGCTCTATGGGGGAGCCCAGTGGGGGGTCTGTGCTACTCTGTGCTACCAAGGGCTACAGGCAAACACAAGGCAATCTAAAGGCACATCCATAGGCGTTTGTCTTTTCACCATATGCGGATCCTTTTCTCGTGCGGACAGGAAAAAGCAAGTCAGAGTTCTTGAACGCGAAACCTAGGAACGGCCAGTTGGAAACCAACATATTTGTTCATGGATTTGCATATATGTAGAGAGAGAGAGAGAGTTCCTCTGGATTGCCTCTAGTTTGCCTTTGGCAGGACTCCACCCCGCGGCCCCATGGGGTCCGCGTCAGGGGGGGGGGGAGGGGAAGAGCGCCGCGCGGGCCCTCCCGACGGGGCCGTCGGGTGGGGCGTACTCGGCGCGCGGACTCCCGAGCATTTCCTTGGGTAGAGGGCAAAGGCTTGGATCTCCAAAAGGTTGATCACAAGACGGATTGGTTGTCGAGGTGGCAAAAAACCCATATGGATTTCACCCTGAGCCCTCCACCCGAAGAAAGGTCTCAGGACTTTTTTTCTGGGGCCGGCAGGAGGAGCTCCCCACAGGGCGCGATGCGCGCGGGGCGTGCCGCGCTCCTGGCGGGGGCGGCGTGCGGACCTGCCCTCTCGAGCAGCACAGGGTGGAGCTCCCCCTCCGGGGCGCGAGCCGCGTCGGGGAGCAGGAGGTGGCGCGAGGGCCCCCACTCTTGGGCCGCAGGAGCTCCCCGCGACGCGCGCGCGCGTGGTCCGCCTGGGGCCGCGGGCTTCCCCCCCTCGGGGTGCGATCCGCGCGAGGGCGGTGCCGAAAGGGGCAGGGGTGCGGCTTGCGGGCCTCCCTGGGGTCGGGGCCCGCCGGCCCGCGCCCGCGACGCGAGGCATGGAGTTTTGCGCGTGTTCTTCTGTCGAGGTGCGTGTCTTGCTCGGCTCGAGCGCGCGGTCGAGCTCCCAGGGCGTCATGTGCGAAGCCATCTCGGGACGCGCTGAGAGAGGTGGCAAGGGTTGGCGGCGCCGCTGAAGTGATTGAGCCGGCCTGATTTGGAGAGGCTGATGCATCGATAGCAGCGGGATGCGATGGCAGCGACAATTGCATTGGTTATGCGGGCATCCTATTTTCTGGATGCCCTTTCCTGTAAGGGCGCGACGAGAATCGTTTGCTCTCTGTGCAACCCCATACTTGGGATCTGCATGCAATGCATGCGCGCAGGCGTGCAAGGGTTATCAGATTTTGGGATCCCCTCCATGCGGCTGCCTGGCTGCCTCGTTGGCTGCCAAGTTGGCTACCTCGTTGGCTGGCGGGTTGGCTGTTTGTTGGCTGTCTAGTTGGTGGCCTCGTTGGGTGCCTCTCTGGCTGCCATTTTGGCAGGCTTGTTGACCGCGTTGCTGGCCGCCCTGTTGGCTGCCTGGTCGGCTGCCTGGTTGGCTGCTTGCCTCGTTGGCTGCCTGGTTGACCGCGTTCATGGCTGGCTCGTTGGCTGCCAGCTTGGCCACCTCGTTGGCTGGCTCGTTGGCCGCTTGTTGGCTGCCTAGTTGGTGGCTTGTTTGGATGCCTCGCTAGCTGACCCGTTGGTTTCCTTGTGTTGGCAGCCTTGTTGGCAGCTTTGATGGTTTCCTTGGTGACTGGCTGGTTGACTGCTCGCTTCGCTGACTGCCTGGTTGGCTGCCTTATCGGCTGCCTCGTTGGTCGCCTAAATGGTTGGCAGCCCGACACCGCCAGCACCGGCGTTGCCGGAATGGTCGCGGGGAGTCCGACAACGTCACCCAGTGGCAGCTGGCGCCTGTCTCCCTGTCTGTCTGTCATGGCAAGCGTCAGGGCGGTGGGCATCAACCGTCAGGGAAGCGATGAGGAGAGCCATCATCTTGACCCTCTCCGAACCTACCATTGCCTCTCCCGGTCTTCCCTGCAGCCCCCTCCCCCCGCCTTTCGCTCCGCAAGGTTCGCCTCCCTCCTCCGCCGCCGCCAACACCAGGACAGAGGGAGGGACCTGGACATACAGGTGCGCGGGTAGCTGCGCGCCGCATCGCGCAGCTGCCAAAGGAGCCCGACCGAGCCGAGCGCCGCCCCGGGCGCCTGAGGCTGCGCATGTCGTCCGAGCGCGCTTGTCAAAAAAGGGGGGAGACCAGCAGGCACCACACTCGGCCCTGGCCACCGTAAGGGGTTGCAGCCTTCACGGCGGCCGTGGGCCAAGCGGCGGACAGCCAGGAAATATATGCCGAGGGAGTCCCCCCCCTCCCCTCGGGGGTGGGGGCCCCGCTCGGACCACCTCCCTGCCCAGTGGATTCCCACTTGCGTTCACCCTGTTCGTGCTGTCGCACGCTCAGGGTGCCCAGCCTTGTTTGCCCAGCGCCGCCACCACCTCCTTCTCCCGACCTGCGCCGCCTGGTCCCGCGGCGCCCCGACGCTTTGCACCTTGCACCTCGCACCGGTTCCTCCCCCTCGTGGTGTGGGTACAGGTGTGGTATTGGTGGCCTTTCCTGACAGGACGTGCTAGCCGAGGTGGGTTCCAGCTCCGCGGGTGTTGGCCACTGACAGTCTCGCCTCCCCACGCAGGCACTTGATCTTCAACATCGTGAACCTGCCGTTCCGTTTCTTCCTTCATGTACCCCTCACTTGTTTGTTGTTGTTGTGGTTTATATTTCCCACCGACCGGTGGGAGGGGTCGATGGCTTCAACCGTTCGACAAGACAGCCCGCAACTTCGGGCTTCGCGGATGAGCAGCGAGAGAGGAGGGCGGCTGAGGGGGGGAGCGGAGGAGCAGGACGAACAGCAGGAGTTAGAGCAGTTGGAGTGGTAGGTGACGGGCACGGGGCCACGAAAAGATAAGCAGGGGTCTGTTCCACGGTTGGGGGTGGAGAAAGAGCAGAAGGAGGAAGCAGAGGAGGAGGAGGAGGAGGAGCAGGAGGAGGAGCAGGGAGGGGGAGGAGGGAGGAGGAGGATGAGGGAGGAGGGGAGAACGAGGGATTGTGGCGGACCTCGCTTTTCGGATGGTGTTTTCGTGTGGCTTTCTTAAGATTATCGCATCCTTCCTCCTCCTCCTCGTCCTCCTCTTTCTACTCCTCTTTCCCCCTCTTACTTCACCTCCTCATCCTCGCACAACTCCTTGTCGCCCTCCCCCCCCTCCCAGAAGGAGCATTATTTTCGCTGTTGTACCCCAAACAACAAAAAAACTGGCGTCGCCCGCCCCCCCCCCGTTTTTTTTGGAGTGGGGGTCGCCCCCTCGTTCTTTTTCTCTTCCCCAACCCCCTCGTCCGACCTTCCCTCCTCTTCATCCTACTCCTCCTCCTCCCCTTCCTTTCTCCTCCTCATCATGCTACTTTTCTCTGTCTGTCCCCCCCCAAAAAAAAATCAATGAAAATAATAATGGGGGGGACACAAATTATTTGTGGCGTTTTCCAATGAAGTCCCTGTGTTCGGATTTCCCATGGAATCTCAGTGGGGTGTTTTCCCATGGATTCCTGCTGACAGGCGTTATAATGGAATTCCCTTGTGTGGCGTTTTCTAACGGATTCCTGTTGTGAGGATTCCCCATCGAATCCATTGTGCTGTGTTTCCAAAGGATCCCCACTGTGACGGTTTCCAATAGACTGCCGTCGTGTTGCTTTCCAATTGAGTCCTGCTGCGAGGTGTTCCAAGACAATCTTCGCGTGGTGCTTCCCAATGGATTCCGAGTATGAAGCTTTTCAATCGAATACCTCTGAAGCGTTTTCCAACGGATTCTTTGTGTGATGCTTCCCTGTGTGATTTCCTTGTGGTGTTTTCCAAAGGATTCCTGTCGTGATGCTTTACAATAAAAAAAACCCTTTTCGCAATGCATCCCCAAGGATTCCCATTGTGAGGATTTCTTGTAGAAATCCAAGTGTGGCTCTTTCCGAATGATCCTTGTTGCGAGCCTTTCCAATCGCATTTCTGTGTTGTGCCTTCCAGAAGAGTATTGTCGTGAGGCTTTCCAATCGAATCCCTTTGCGGCGCTATCCAACATATTCCTGCCGTGAGGCTTCCCCATTGGATCCCTCTGTGATGTTTTGTGATGGACTATCTGTTGTGCGGCGTTCAAGTAAGAGCCCGCAGTGGTGTTTTCAAATAGGTTTCTGGTATGAGGCGTTCCCATTGAATCCCTCTGTTGTGCTTTCCAGAGGATTCCCACTGTGACGGTTTCCGATCTAATGCCGTTGCGCTGTTTTCCAAAGGATTATTGTTATGAGGTTCTGGTGCTTCCCAATGGGTTCCGAGCGTGAGGCTTTCCGATAGAATATGTGCGTGGTGTTTTCCAAAGGATCCCTTTTGTGCTGCTTCCGAATAAAATATGATTGCAGTGCTTGCCAAAGGATTCCGGTTATACTGTTTTCCAAGAGATTTTTTGGCGGCGCGATGCAAGGGATTTTCATTGTGAGGATGTCCCATAGAATCCCGTTGTGGCGTTGTCCAGAGGATCCTCGTTGCGATGCATTTTCCGTCGAATCTCTGTACGGTGATTTCCAAAGGAGTCTTGTCGTGAGGTTGTCCCATCGAATCCCCCTGCGGCTCTCTCCAGAGGATTCATGTCGTGAGGCTTCCTGATTGAATCCCTCTGTGGTACGTTCCGATGGATTGCTCTTGTTGTGCGGTTTCCCAATGGGAGCCTTTCAAAAGGCTTTCTGGTGCGAGGCGTTCCCATGTGATCCCTTTGTGGTGCTTTCCGAGATGGGATCCTTTTTGTGCGGCGTCCCAGAAGGAACCCCGTAGTGGCGCTGTCCAATTCAATAGAATCCCTGCGTGGTATTTTCCACAGGATCCAATTTGTGGTACTTTCCAAAAGGGGCCCGTCGTAGCGTGTTCCAGAGGATTCCTCTTGTTATGCTTTCCATTAGGAGCCCTTCGTGCTGCTTTTCGGCGAATTTCTCTTGTGAGGCTTTCTGGTACAATCCCTGTGTGTTGTCCAAAGGATTACTGGTGCCAGGCGCTCCGATCGACTCCATGCCGTTTCGATGTTCAAAGGATCTCTATTGCGAGGCCGTCCGTTAAAACTTGTTAGGTTCCTTGCCCAAGGATTCCAGTCGTTTGTTCACACCGAATCCTTCTGGAGCGCTTTCCAGAGGACTCAAAGTATGATGGTTTCTAACAATATTTGTGCTGCTAGACAGCGTTTTTCACAAGATCCCTCTTGTGAGGCCATACAATAGAATTCTTGTGTAGCAGTTCGCACAGTGTTCCAAGCCCGAGGCTGTCCAATCGAATCTGTTGTGTTGTCCAAAGGCTTCCCCCTGTGACGCGTCCCAATAGAAGCCCTCAGCAATGTTTTATTAACGGTTTCGTTTACGACGCTTTCCAATTTAATCCTTGATTGTAATGGTTCCGAGCGGATTCTTCTTGCGAGGCCATAGAAACCATGTGGCGTGATTTCCGATGGATTCTTGTTGCGTGCTCTCCAATACAAATTCGTTACGTTGTTCAATAGCTCTATGTTGTGAAGCCTTCAGGTACAGTCTTTTAGATCTTGTACCACATGATTCCAATTGCAAATGTCCCCAACTAGTCCCTCGGAAGCGCTGTCCAACATATTCCAAGAATGGTTGTGTCTAACAACATGTATTTGTAGCTTTTTCTCATGGATCCCTGTCGTGAGGCCATCCGCTGGAGTCCCTGTCTAGCACTTCGCACAAAATTCCGAATGCGAGGTTTTCCCATAGAGTCTTTTTGTGACACGTCCCAAAGGATTCCTGATGTGAGGCTCTGAGTCGAATCTCTTCGTGGCGCTTCTCAAAGGATTCCTCTTGTGATGCTTTCCAATAGTAGCCCTCAGCAGTGCATCCCAAACGGCTCCGGTTATGAGGCTTTCCCATCGGATCCCTTGGTAATGATTCCCAGCGGATTCTTGTTGCGGGGACATAGCATGTTTTTGCTTCGCTTTCCAGAGGGATTCGTCTGTGATGCTCAAGGAAGGAGATGCATATAATGTGTATGTGAAAGAGAGAGGCAAAGGGAGAAAGCGAGAGAGGAAATATAAGGATAATGCTGAAGACAAGGCTGAAAGCTCGTAAAAACTCCTCTGGCGAAATTACAGCCCCATGCCGGTTGGCACAGGGCTGGAGTTCCGAAGACCATGCTCGGGAGGTCGTTTGGTTGTGAAGAGGCTGACGAAGAGTGAGAGAAAGAGAGACAATGAGAGAGAGAGAGATGAAGAAGAAGAAAAGAAGGATATCACGATAAAGAGAACGAAACAATCACGAAAACACTGCAAAACAACTACTCAACACAGTGAGGTCCGCCACAATCCCCTGGCCTCGAGAACGAAGGAGGAAAGAGGATGAGGAAGAGGATGAGGAGGAGGAGGAGGAGGAGGAGGAGGAGGAGGAGGAGGGTCAGGAGCGGGGAGGAGGAAGAGGAGGAGGAGGAAGAAGAGGAGGATGGGGAGGAGGAGGAAGAGGAGGAGGAGGAGGAGGAGGAACGTGGAGGAGGAGGAACGAGGAGGAGGAGGAACGAGGAGGAGGAGGAGGAGGGTAAGGAGCGGTGAGAGGGAGGAAGCTGCCCCCTCTGTGCTCTGTTGCCCAGTGTTCGCCGACGGCCTGGCGCAGCTCAAGAGCGACGCCGCGTGCGCCCGCCCGCAGCCCCCATCCGACGCCATCGCCACCATCGCAGCCCTCCTCCTCCTCCTTCTTCCTGCAAGCGCACATGATATACAATGCTCCCTCCTTCTCCCTCTACTGTTTTTCCCTCCTGTTCCCTCCTTCTCCTTCCTACTCCCTCCTGCTCCCTCCTTCCCCTCCCTCCTGTTCATCCCTCCCTCCTTCTCCCCCCTGCCGAGGCATTCACGGGGGCGGAGATGGCAGGATAGAGTCTGCTTCGATTTCTTTGCTGGGTTAGTGGGTCCATCCAGGGTGTTCTCTTCTGTCTCCGTCCTGCCGTGAATGTCTCCCATCATTCTCGACCCGTTGCAGACAACCCCAGGGATTCGCAGAACATCCGAGCTGGGAGGTTCTTGAGATTACACTAACTTTCTGGATCCCCCCGCCTCCTCTTCATCCTCCCTTTTTCCTCCTTTTAGGCTGGTCCTAGACCAGCGGAATTTCCGTGCACCGATTCGGTAACATGCATTTGCCTCGTTGCCCCAGTCCAGAGATTTTGTTTCGGGCCTGGCGGGTAGCGCGTGGTTGCGTGAATTTGGCAGCCGGCAGCCAGACTCTAGAGACATGGTGTTGTGGACGTTGGTTGGTGATTCGCGAGTTCCCCCCCTCTCCCAAAGAATTGCGCTGAAAGAAAGAGGGCTGATTTAAGGGTTGTAGTAGGGAGTATCTTTGGGTAGAAGCAGAGGCTGTAGTAAGCGCTGTAGTAGGGATTTACGCAAGCGTTGTAGTAGGGGCTGTGGTAGGCACCGGAATAAGGTTTGCAGTAAACATGGGAGCGGGTGTTGCAGTAAGCGTTACAATAAGGTTGTGATCGGTGCAACAGTTGATGCTGCTGCCGTGGACTCTGAATTTGCATACACGGCGAGGCATGGTGTCGGAGCCGTTTCCACGAGCCACGGTGCACCTCCAACCACAAAAACATGTTAGCCAGCGTGGGCCACAAACAGTGCGTATATACAAAGGTGCGTTGTGCGATCGATGTGGGGCAAAGTTTGTCG